ACATTCATTCTACCAGTTCTGTTTCTTTGGAGAACCCTGACTAATACAGTGCCTCAGTTTCCTTATCTAGAAAATAGGGACAATTACACACCTAGTTCACAGCAGCAAAAGATAAATGAGTTGATGTGTGCAGAGTCCTCAGAAGAATGTCTGGCCTACAGCAGGAACATCAGGCACCCTCAGCAGCAGTACAGTATTCCTAATCTAATAAGCTCTAAGTTTGTACTAGTCTCTAATGATAACTGTAATCATGGACCTGACTCATGAGTCTCTGAATATGGTCAGACTAGAATCCTAGTCACTAACTCAAAAGGCAGCCCAGAAGTGGCTGTTCCCTAGTTGTGGGCAGATGTTTCTGCTGAGCAGTTGAGGTCCATATGCCTCAGTGTAGTGACTTTCCATCTTTGCCACAGAATCACCTGGAAGGCTTGGAAGGCCACAGATCATAGGCTCCACCCCTCAAGTTTCTGATTCCATACTGCTGAGTTAGGCGTAGGAATTTGCATTTCCAACAAACTCAGACCAACTGGGCTGCTGATGCTGATCCTGGAACAACACTCCAGGGACCATTTTGTCAGTGATACTCAGTAGAGCTCATATGTGATAGGTAGAGGAAGGGTGAAGACCATGGGGCCTCAGTGGAAATCACATCTGCATTCAACAAGAGGAAGAGCGACTTTTAAGCCTGCCACCTGACATCTTTCTCTAGTAATGGCTCTAAATCATGGATATGATTTAAAAGTCAACTTGACTTTTGTGTGTGCATGTGCATTTATGTTTACATGTGTGCAGGTGCACATGTACCTCTGAAGGCCAGAGGACAACCACTGATGTCATTCTGAAGGAGTGGTTCACTTTGTTTTTGATTTTTTAAATTTTAGGTGCATGTGTGTATTGCATGTATGTATGTAAGTGTACTAGTGTTGTGCAGTGCCCATGGAGGTCAGTTGTTAGCTGCCATGTGGGCACTGGGATTTGAACCCAGATCTTCTGCAAGAACAGCCAATGCTCTTAACTGCTGAGCCATCTCCCCAGTCCCCCATTTGGTTTTTAAGAAAGGGTCTCTCACTGGCCAGAAGCCTGCCAAATAGTCTAGGCTGGATGGCCAACCTGCCTCTGGCTGTCCAGTGCTGGATTTTGAATATGGGTTCCGGGGATTGAACCCAGGTCCTCATGCTTGCAAGGCAAGCATTTTACTATCTGAGCCATCTTCCCAGCTCTCAACTTGAGTTTTTAAAAATAAAAAGTTTAATTCTATATGTCCCAGGCCTCATCTTAGACAATTAAATATGAGCTCTCCATCTCACTGGAAATCTTTGGTTGCCTGGATGAGTCTTAGCTAACTGAGATTAGAAACACTGATTCCTTGTAGTGGGAGTGTCAACCTTGGATCCTCATCAGTCACCCAGTCCCCATCCCAGACTCATTTGAACAGTCTGTTTGGGACAGAGGCCTGGGTATAAGCACCCCCACCACTTTAAAAGCACTCTCCATGACTCTAGTGTGCAGCCAGAGTGGAGAACAGGACACTGGACCCTCCACCTGGCCATCTGCTTCCCTCTGGACCCTGAGTCTTCATCTTGGGTGGGCATCAGAATCATTTTCTTTGGTACTTAAAAGACAGTGAGTGAGCTGGCAGTCCTCACCTGTGGAAATGTAGATTATGGTTTATAAACCCTGTGGTTATGGGCCCTGGTGGAAATCAGGCATCAGTATTAGGACTAGACCAGGAAGCCTGTCTGCACATACATCCATGTGATGACATAGCTCTGCAAGGAGAGCATGTTGGTTGACTATGAGACCTCTGTTAGGACAATACAGTAGTGGCAGGGACTCAAATGCATGTGAGAATAATACCAAACCAGCCTCACTTCACGGCCAGGACAGACAGAAGCAGAGGGTTCATATCACTTTACCTTTTGAGCATTTTTCCATGTCCTCTGAAGACTGCAGCCAGAATGGACCTCGTGTGTCACCACAAGAAAATGATAAGTTGCTTCCCATTTGAAATGAATTCTGCTTTGATATACTACTCCGCTGTTCATAGATGACAAGAGCATGTTAAAAAGGAAAACAGAGCCCAGGAGGGAACAGCTACTAAGGTAAAGGACAGCAGGGCTGGCTGGTCCCTAATGGATGCCTCTGCTTGTAATGGGAAGAAGCTTCCAGCAATGCACCCCACAAGAAACTCTGATACCTCTGGCTATCACCCCAGAATGGCTACACAATGCTTCAGGGCCTCCGGTAACAGTCCGTACTTTCTTCTGTCAAATGGAGACACCACAGTAATGGTATGCTTGGAAAGATTTGCAATTCTGTATGGCTATACACATGTTAGCTGCATTTACAATCAGGTAAGAAAACCAAAGTCAATATGGCCTAGAGAAAGCCCAAGGTTTCAGGAAGCCCAGATTACTTCTGATATGACCTCCTGGCCTTAATCCATCCTACTGGGGTCCTGGATCTGACTCATTGGCAAAAAAACTAAGCAATTACCAGCCCAACTGACCCTGTCCCTCCCAAAACCTTCCCTTAGACTCACTCCCAGGAAGGCCTCCCAGTTCTTTGTCTCGTTATTGCAACACATTCCTTACCTTCCGGCTGGAAACTGTGTCAAACACCCCTGGGGCAGAGTCTGTGACAGACCCTGGGAAAAAGTGATTGACATCCTGGGGAAACATGGCGATCTCATTCTGCCGATACATTCTGTGATGACGGAGCTTGGACACCCACTCATCAAAGATTTCTTCCGACTTTACCTAAAAGATATTAAATTGGGGGTGGGGGGAGAGCCACTTGCTTTAAAATGAACAACTATTCATTGAAATTGGGCTACTCTAGATCTGCTGTTTTTAAACTGGCACATGTGTAAAAGAAGAAATCACATTTACTGTTTACGTTCTATGTGGTCTACAAGAACAAATTGAAGGAAGAAGTATTTTCACAGAATATACATCCATGTCTCCTTCAAGATATTCTAATTGTTATGCAATTTCTAAGACCAGGAAGCAGGATTGGTTTTATTAAACAACAAACTAAAATTTACATTTACCTCTTTTTTAAAAAATATTTTATTTATTATTTTTATTTTATGTGTATGCAT